GAGTTTGAAAGATAATGTTGTAAAAATTCATAAAGTTGGAGATAGAATTATAGTCCTTAAGATTATCATTGATACTAAGATTTTTAATATTATAAGTGCTTATGCTCATCAAGTAGTTTTAGATATAGGGTTTAAAGATAAATTTTGGAATGACTTAGAAGACTTGATGCAATTGATACCTCTTGAAGAAAGAATTTTTATTGGAGGAGATTTAAATGGACAAGTCGGTAGAGTGGTAGAAGACTTCAGAAATTCTCATGGTGACTACGGTTTTGGAGTAACTAATGAAGAAGGTATAACTATTTTAGATGTTGCTTTAGCGTATGATTTTGTTATTACTAATACTTTATTCAACAAAAGAGATGAGCATCTTATTACTTATAAGAGTGGATCTAATAAAACACAAATTGATTATTTTCTTATGAGAAAAAGAGATCGTCGCTGTAGAGATTGTAAAGTCATTCCAAGTGAAAATTTAAGTACCCAACATCATTTATTAGTTCTACATTTTAAGTTTAAGAGTTGTAAAATAAATAATACTACGACTCATCATCGTAGAATTAGATGGAAAAAGTTAAAATATATAAATAAAATTATTTTTTTGAGTAAAATTCAATATTTCAAAATTTAGGACATTCACGAAGAAGCAAATGTTATGTGGGATAAAGTAACAAACACTATTAAACAAGTAGCAAAAGATGTGCTTGGAAAATCAAAAAAAAAGTTTTTATAAATAAAAAAGTTGGTGGTGGAACAATGTGCAAGAAAAAATAAAATATAAGAAATTATGTTATAAAAATTGGTTTAAATGTAAAAGTGATAGTTTAGGTTTTAAATTTTGGTATTCTGGTATTAGTCACATTAGAAATGATGTTGGTGTAATTACAGATAAGAGTTTGAAACATAATGTTGTAAAAATTAATAAAATTGTAGTCATAATTATAACCCTTAAGATTGTTGTTGATACTAAATTTTTTTAATATTATAAGTGTGGAGGCTTTAAAGAAAATCAATGGTGAAAAATCGGTAGTACTTGATGATATTACAATTGAAGTATGAAAAATTTGGGAGAATTAAGAGTTTCTTGGCTTACTAAACTCTTTAATATTATTTTAAAAACTAAAAAGATGTCTGACGAGTGGAGTAGATTATAAAACTATTTTTCATGATTTTTCTAAGCTTATTTAATTTATGATAATTATTTTTGTACAAAAATACAAAGTTACTTTAAAAGTTAATTTTAGTGCTTAAATTAAGCTAAATAATTTTTAACTTTTACAGTAAGTAAATATGATTTTTATGCACAATGTGGAACTGATTTTGTCAAATTTCAATAAGTGTATAATTTACATAAATTATCACAAGGTTTATATATTTGATTAAATATAGAAATGTACAAAACAATTCGAAAGATCATAATATTTTTCATAGACTTGTCTGGCCAAAGGAAACCTACTAAGATTATCCTCATAATTTTCCAAATTATATTTCGGTTTTTATTGATTTAAAAAAAGCTTACGATAAGGTTCCAAGAGATATCCTTTGGAGAATTCTTGAGAAGAAAGGTGTTGATATGACTTATATTCAAGTCATTAAAGATATGTATACTAGAGTTGTTACTTGTGTTCAA